ATATATATTATATAAATATAATATATATATATATATATATATATATATATATATATATATATATATATATTATATAATGTGTGTGTATGTATCCATCTACCTGCCTCTACTTCAGATTAATTAAGGCTAAGGGACTGAACACCTGTCGAGGCTGAGAAACTGATAACCTCATCTTCCACGGTTTCCAATGTATCATCTTTGTAGTGAATTGAAAAAGCCACCGGTTGGAAAATGTCTTCATAATAAGATAACCAGGTCTTGCTCGTGTTTCTTATTCATCAATTTACCAGTATTCAGTATGCCGTTAATGTAATGATCTCACCATTGCTTGTACGGATATGTATGCGTCTCTTGAATCCCACAGCGATATATAAAGCCGCACCAAATCTCTGTTAGTCACGGACAGAAATACATCAGTTGTAGTGATGTATCTGGTTGTCTACACACCTTCCAGTGGTTGTCGTCTGTAAATCTTCACACGTCCAAGAAAACTACAAGAAATGGCGAATCATGTCATTATTAACGATAATATGTCTGAAACAATACTGTATCCACAGTTTGCACCGGCTAGATGATTGAACTGTTATTTGATGAGGCTGCAACTCAGTACTGTTAAACCGGTAGTTTAGCGATAATGAGATACTTTAACATTCTTGAGATAGTATCTCATATAAAAAAAAAAATCTGAAGCAACACTACAGTAACTTTTTGGCCCACCCACACCCCAAGTACCCGTCGAACCCATATTTAAAGCTACCCAGAGTTCTCGCCTTGGTGACGTTACCTGTGAGTTCGTTCCACTCATCTACAACTTTCTTGCCAAACCACTAAATCTAAATTTGTCTAGGTTGAATCTATTGCTGCAAGTCCAATCTTGGTTAAATATTTCCAACGTGTTGCTTACATCCATATACTCATTCGTGTTTTCTCTTTGTACACTTCACCCATATCTCTTCTAATTCTGTCTTCCCAGAGTTCAAATTCAGTGCCTTCAGCCTGTCTTTGTAGAAAAGATTTCTGATACATACCTGGAGTTTATCTGGAGAGAGTTTCGGGGGTCAACGCCCCCGCGGCCCAGTCTGAGACCAGGCCTCATGGTGGATCAGGGTCTGATCAACCAGGCTGTTACTGCTGGCCGCACGCAAACTGACGTACGAACCACAGCCCGGTTGGTCAGGTACTGACTTTAGGTGCCTGTCCAGCGCCTTCTTAAAAACAGCCAGGGGTCTATTGGTAATCCCCCTTATGTATGCTGGGAGGCAATTGAACAGTCTTGGGCCCCGGACACTTATTGTGTTGTCTCTCAGTGTACTCGTGGCGCCCCTGCTTTTCATAGGTGGAATGTTGCATCTCCTGCCGAGTCTTTTGCTTTCATGTGGAGTGATTTTCGTGTGCAGGTTTGGTACCAATCCCTCCAGGACCTTCCAAGTGTATATTACTATGTATCTCTATCGCCTGCGTTCGAGGAAATACAGATCAAGAACCTTCAACCACTCCCAGTAATTTAGTTGCCTTATCGTACTTATGTGTGCCGTGAAAGTTCTTTGTACACTCTCCAGGTCTGCAATGTCGCCAGCCTTGAAGGGTGCCGTTAGTGTACAGCGGTATTCCAGCCTAGAGAGAACAAGCGATTTAAAGAGAATCATCACGGGCTTGGGGTCCCTAGTTTTGAATGTTCTCATTACCCATCTTATCATTTTTCTAGCGGATGAGGTAGATACATTGTTGTGGTCTTTGAAGGCGAGATCCTCTGATATTATCACTCCCAGGTCCTTCACATTACTTTTCCGCTCTATTGTATGGTTAGAATTTGTGGTATACCCTGACACATTTTTAATTTCTTCAAGTTTTCCATATCTGAGTAGTTGAAATTTCTCCTCGTTGAACTTCATATTGTTTTGAGTGGCCCATTTGAAGATTTGGTTGATGTCCACTTGGAGTCTCTCGATGTCTTCGATGGAGGTCACTGCCATGGTGATCAGGGTGTCATCCGCAAAGGAAGACACGGAGCTATGGCTTACATCTCTATGTCAGAAATGAGGATGAGGAATAGAATGGGAGCGAGTACTGTGCCTTGTGGAACAGAGCTTTTTACCCTGGCTGCCTGGGACTTTGTTTACTATTACTCTTTGTGTTCTATTTGTCAGGAAGTTGTAGATCCATCTACCAACTTCGTCATCCTTCTCTGTATATTTTCCAGTGCATTTATATTCATTCTGTAATAGCAGCATAATCTAAATAAAACTTTGTTAAAGATATATAAAGTTGAAATATTACTTAATGATTTATATTATTTATAATTTTTGACGTGAAGCCTAGAATTCTATTAACTTTATCGCGACCACTTATGCACTGTTGTCTTGGCTTTAGAGTTCTGCTAACCAGAACTCCTAAATCTTTTTTTCGCATTCACTTAAACTAAGATCTACATTATTTAGTTTATAAGTGTCATAGCTTAGTCTACGATATTTAGCATACAATTGTCATAGTCATTGTTTGCACTGAGCTGCTTCGGGCATTTCTCCGACCACATCAACCTCTCTAAGTTGTCCTGTGCCCCTGTGGTTTCCTCATCAGAAATTATTTGACGGCCAGCTTTGGTGTCATCAACACTCACTTATGTCATTATCTATTCCCTCTATTGCCTATCGGTCAACCATGCTTCGACTCAATGATAATTTATCATTTTATACTATGTGCCGTTACTTTCTTAATCTCCTTGTGTGGGACTTCATCATAGGCCTTAACTTAGCTTTCGTTTTTCTTTTTAGGTCACCCTGCCTCGGTGGAATATGGCCGGTTTGTCAAAAAAAAAAAAAAAAAAGTTAGTGGAAATGTTCGGCTCATAACAGCGAGATTCGTTTTTTTCCGAGAGTGGGGTGAGGCATATTGGACAAGTCTCCTGCTGCCTTGTTCATACCAGTACTTAGAAATTGACTTTTGCGGATGGCCTTTTAAGGACGCCAATGGAAATAAGCCACGGTGCTTGGCCCACTGTTTTATCCAAATTATTTAATCCGCTTGGGTTATTAATTTAAAGAAAGTCTTCTTGTGCAGTCAACTGGTTATGAAGGAACATTGTGTCTTGAAAGACTGAGTCACAATTTTCTTTTGAGTAAGCGAGTTATAGTATTAAAATATTTACAATAGTCGAGATTAGTGTGGAGAAAATTCTCCAGTAAACGAAGCATCTCTCAGCCCCCCTCAGCCCTCTGAGGGGCTTAGCCCTCCCGGAAGGGGCTAGTGGACTCTTACATCCTCGCAAACAGATTTAGCAAACCCACATGTTCGTACCATAGCATCACAAGGCACGCTTTCCTCTCCTTGCTAGACTTGTTGCAACAACACAGTGAAAGTTAAACGAGAGTAATTACTCTTTCTCCTTAGCAGGAAAATTAAGGGAAAACCTGTGCCCCACTCTATCTACAAGTTGGGACTATTAAGAATTCTAGTCTATAACTAGATAACAAGAAACCTACCTTTATGAGTGAAAACATTATTGATGTTTTTATTATAGTCATGGAAGGAGCGCTAAATCCGTAGGGATCATGCAGCACCTAGGAAAACGGGAAGTAATCAGGTTCGATTCAAGGAAAGGGAGGCCGGGCTCATTTCCTTAGATCGTGAGCACCTCACCTGCGTCAAGGAACCTCCCAGAAGGGGGCGTGGGTGACCAAACACATGCGCCTCTCGCAACAATCTGGGACACGTCCCTAGTTTCTTCAATGGTACAAAAGGGGAAGCATGTCTATCTCGCGCTCAGGAGACGAAGGCTGAAGTCTCCATGTCATGCGCTGAATAACCCACATGGGTTTAGCGCTAAATAATAATGATAATACTTCCAATGTACAAGTGATACTATGTTCTTTAAATTACTAGGTAATCCCTAACCATTTCTTTGAATGATTTATCTTCTGAAGACAACTTTTTTATGGAAGGTCGTCATACTCATCACCTTCTTCCGTGGTTTCATCTCCTGGATAAAAATCGAGCATTTTTGATTGACCAACTCTCTAAAAATCACGATGTATACTCATATGTCCCATCTTTTCATTCCAATAAAGTTTTTTAAAATATCCACACTAATATATATATATATATATATATATATATATATATATAATATATATATATATATATATATATATAATATATATTATATATATATATATATATGTCGTGCCGAATATGTAAAACTTTTCAATTAGCAAGAACTCATTTAAAATTAAGTCCTTTCTAAAATTTTCTCTTATACGTTTAAAGATATATCTTTTTCATTAATGTTCATGTAAAAATTTATAATTTTGCACCAAAAAGAACTTAGAAAACTTACCTAACCTTATTATAACAAGAACAATTTATTTTAGCCTAACCCAACTAAATATATTTTAGATTTGTTTACAATAATTTAATACTAAACAAACACAGTGAAATATATTTTTTTCGTTAGGTTCAGATTGATTTTGGCGAAATTATTGCATACACAAATTTTCACTTGCCCTATATGGCAAGATGAACGTTGCTATTTAAGCCAAGATGGCAAGTTCTGCCTATTCGGCACGACATATATATATATATATATATATATATATATATATATATATATATATATATATATATATAATATATATATATATATATATATATATAATATATATATTACGCATTGTATTATATTGCGTAAATTAGAGCAAAAATTAGTGTGGCTTCTAAGTTAGTTTTGGTGAGAAATAGAAAAATAAAAAACATGTTAATTAATGTCTGTCTTAGGGATTAAAATATTCATGATATTAATGTCCAGGTAAATCATGGCTTTAATGATTCATGTGCAGACGATAGGCCTTAAGATTTACGAAACTAACAAAAGTATATCAATGAGAGGAATGCATCTCTCACTGTGCATTAGTTCCCCTTAATCCCTACTATAGGATGCAAGTGGCATACAGCTGAAAGTCTTTAAACCTAACTAACCAAACCAATAAACCAAGCAAAGCATCTAGCGTAAAACCTTGAAGAGTTAACTGGAAAACGTGAAGGTATATTTGTTGAGTTTGTCGGTGGCGCGTCTGGTGAGTTGCCAGTCCATGAGTTGCTCAATGCAGAGCCGAGTCAGCTGCTTCAGTCTCAGTGCGCGAGTAGAGGCCCTCATAGGTAGGTGATACTGACTTTCATCTGTTCTCAGCACTCTTCTCTACCGTTCTTGCAGCCTCTCGTGAACCACAACAGGTAAGATGATAGCCGTTGTCAGTACTTCGAGAGTAACCCCAGGGAAAAATGTGGTATCATTTAAATATGCGCAGAGAATGGATGTTTCTCCATTAGCTTAATAAAGCAGCCAGCGAGGACTTGGCTGTTTCAGTTGGACCAGGTTAGGACTAGTTGTATCATGCAAAGGATGATATCACAGGTGATTTATAGATTCCCAGTCAACATGCGAGTTATTTTAGGTCATGGTAGTGGTGGTGCGAAATATGTATCCAGGTACGACGGATGTTTTAAATTATATATATATATATATATATATATATATATATATATATATATAAATTGTATCGTATATATATAAAATAATTATCTATTAAACTCAAATTTTCTAGTGTTCGCTCGTTCGTCAGCCTGAGCGTGTGCGTGGTTAATTTATATATTAAATAACTGTATTTTTATACATCACTACGCCCTTCCGTCAAACCACGATTCATACTGACCACAGCTTTTGCCCTCAACCTGTTGTAACGCGTCATAACCACTAGTCTTAACTAGTTCTAAAATGAATTGTTTTCACCCTGGGAGGTATAAATTTGTCATCTTTCTAACGTTACCTCTGTGTGAAGACAGTGCTATTTGGACCACATAATGATCCATACATAAATTCTGTAATATTAATGTAGAAACAATAAACATTCGTGAAAATAACATCCATGATATCTATTCACGAGGAAGAACTTTACTTTTAAGTCTGTGCATTTCAAAGTTGCTTTCGGTATAAATTAATACTTTAAACTGATGTTTACTGTGTTTCACCAACACTAATTGTGTGTATGTATGTTTGTCAGGAAACGAGAAGTTTCCTGACCCGCAGCAAGAGATATTGGTTATTTGACAGAGGCCTTCCTCTGGCATGCCGGTCCACCCTTTCTAAAATTCTGGTTATGATTATAACTTCTCTTCTTCCGTCTAAGGCGGAATAATATACCAACTGGTTTGTAAATATATTCTCTACATTATGAAAATTTTAATGCTAAGAGTATTAATTTAAAATTTGTTAAAAAAAATGAGTCGTCTATAGCAATATCCATATACATAACATATGTTCGTTAATATCATACATGCCTGCCTGAGTACTGACGACACACGATGGTAAGACCATATATTAAATGTTTAATTACTTAATTTTTAATAGCAATTAACTTTTCCAGTCTTTAATTATTCAGTTTATAATATAATTTGACGTCATGTTCTTTTATACCATTAATTAATTTATAACACGTAACAGGGTCAGAGATATGGTGGTGCAACAGGTCAGTCTCGAGCATTAAACTAATTGATAGACGGGTACTATACGTAATGCAAATGTTGTGTATGTTGCGTGACTTAGCAGAGCTTTTACATTAATATAATATAATTATAAGCTTTTAAATTAATATAATAATGTAACGGGTGTCACTATATGGTATACAGTACCGAGAAGTCGAGGAAAGCACCTCCTCAATTCTTCCACTGTGTCCAGCATTAGTCTCCTCAGTATTCGACTGAAGAAACCTATTGTGCAGGCAACAAAAATTTCGCAGTAAAGATACCCATATGTTGCACTGGTAAGGGGTGTATTAATGCACCCCATGCTCATCCGAGTTGTAGCATGCTAAAAGGTTATGGGGTCGTAGTGGATCTTGGAAGGTCCTGTTGTATGTTTTTGGATATTGGTAATTTTGGATCACTTAAGATTCGAAAATGAGCAACCCGTCCTCCCGAGCAATTACAGTGAGCAAATTCTTCAGATACGGTTTGCAGAACATTTCTAGGTTAGGTTGTCTTTTTTTTTAACAGGGTTTGACAAGGTTAGGTTAAGGATCCCTAGCTTTATTGACAAGCTATTTACAGGTTAAGGATTCCTAACTTTATTGGAAAGCTAAGAGCTGTTACCAACATCAGCTGATTTGAAAGCATTTGTATTGTTATGAGACATACAAGTAGGGAACAGGATGAAGTTGGAGCCATCTGTGGGCCAGCATTTTCATTTGATCAACTGACTTTATCTCGATGACATCATTATGCTGTACGAATGTGTTCCATACTCAAGTCATCCTGGGTATATATGATCTCAGATGGAGTGATGTTCTAGAGAAGGGTACAACCAGAGTGAAGTTGCTGCTTTCTGCCCGTCTTGTGGCATAAAAGCTTGTTTCTCGCTGTCCTCGAAGTGGATCCAAGTGTGGTACTTTGACAATATTGGCCTTGTACATAACAGTAAGGCCACCCACATCCCTTCTGTGTTGAAGGCTCTGCTGAAATGACAGGTCTATCCAGGATGGGTTCAGGCGAGAGATGAGACGTCTTGCTCTGTTCTCTACTCTGTCAAGCAGTCGCAGATGAGAGGGAGGGCAGGCAAACCAAGAAAGTGGAGCATACTCAAGGTGTGAGCGTACTTGTGCCTCGTACAGAATCTTGCAGCCCCTACTGTCAAGCAGATGCGAGATACGGCGAAGTGCTGTAAGCTTCCTGGCTGCCTTGTTTGCAAGATTTACAACATGGTTCTTCATGGTTAGTTTGGAGTCAAATTTCACCCCAAGGATATCAACTTCTCCAGGTGCCAACACCCTCCCATTCATCCTTACTACTGCACCAGCATTACCATCATGGTGCCTAGAGACCATCATCATTTGCATTTTCTCAGGTGCAAATGTTACTTGCCATCTATTTCTCCAAGCTGATATAGCTCTTAGCTGGTGATTGATGTAGCTTAGTGCAGCTGGCATTTCTTCTCTTGGATAAGTAAATGTCAGTGTACAGTCGTCGGCATATGCATGGGATTCTGGGATGAGATTAAGAAGGTCGTTGAAGTAGACATTCCATAACAGTGGTCCCAGCACGCTTCATTGTGGAACACTTGCCCCAATAGGATGTCTTGCTGATTCCGTTCCATTGAGAACTACACTTAGAGATCTACCATGAAGGTAATCACTGAGGAGACATAGCGTAGAGCCTGCAATTCCCAGTGCTTGAAGTTTTGCTAAGAGGTCCTGGTGCCACACCCGGTCGAAAGCACCAGCAATGTCCAGTGCTACCACACAGCTGACTTTGGATTCATCCAGTGACTGGTGCCACTTAGTGGAGAGGTTTAACAACAGATCAGCAGCAGAGTAACAACCTTTCCTGAAGCCATATTGACGATCACAAAGTAGTGAGTGGTAGTCAAAAAACTGTCATTTGTCTTGAGATTATTGTCTCGAGGATCTTACCAGTGATTGACAGGAGTGACACTGGTCTTCTAGCCTTTATATATATATAATATATATATATATATATATATATATATATATATATATATATATATATATTTATAAATATATATATATATATATATATATATTATATATATCTGGCACCTCTACCAGAGAGAGGCTGTGGGCATCTCGCTCTGTGATTTTGGCACAATATCGTCCAATCAAGAACACCTACCAGGATTATCATCAACAGACTGGTGTGTGAATATCTGCTGGTCGTGTTGGAAAGGGCCAGAAGACTCCGCATTTCGTCTATTCCGTCAGAATCAAGAAAAGTTCTGTGTATGTGAATTCAGTGAGGGAACATAAGGGTCACCTATGGGTAGGAGAGGTCGGTGAGGGGAGGCCTAATGGAGGGGGAGGAGGCGGAGGTTGAGGGGTAAAACTATCCCCCCCTTCCCCAAACAGGCGTGCATACACCGTGTGCTCGTGTTACAACAATGGTGTGTTTGTTCACCGTGTGTATAGTGTATATAGTCTATAGTGTACAGTGCATAGTATGTGCATGGTATGCGCATAGCATGCGCATAGCATGTGAAGTGTATAGCGGTGTGTCGTTGATAGTGGGGGTGAGCATCGTGGTGTATAGTGACTTGTCCTGGGAGGGAGTGAGTGCCCTACTCCGCCTCAGCACACATCTTCCACCGCCCACCACAAGGACTGGACACCCCTCTCCCCCCCCCCCACCACCACCATGAACCACATGCGGAATGTGCCATGCGCCATTTTCCCTTCAGCTTGGGCTTATCACACAGTTTGAGGTATGGCAGACGATGAAGCCAGCCAGCCACAAAGCCAGGGAAACAATGCACCCAACAATGAAAGAAGAGGCACATGTCAGGTGTGTGGAGAGTTTCGAGCATGCAACAGGGACGGCCGTATTCGTGCACACAATAGGTGTGCGGGATCACATATGCCCGCAGCAGAGAGCAGCCCACAGCCTCCACAGGCAGATGACAATTCCAATGGCAACCTTGTCACTTGCGATAACCTGTTGGCATTCAAATCCACTGCTAGCAGTACACTATCCCACATCCCTAAAGCAGCTCGCCCATATGCAGCAGGGAAATTCACAGACCTTCTTAAGCGGGTGAATGGAGGTTCCACCAACTTAGAAGCCCGAGGCACCATCCAAGCATGGCGCAACCTTCTCTTGTTCGGCAATGTCTGTTTTGCAGTTCCTGAAAGACGTCAGTTATCAAGGCAGTGCGCAACTACCCAAGAATGGATAACTGTGTCCCTCTGCCCCATCATCGCAGGAATCAAAGAGGCAGACCCAAGAAAAGTCCTACTGAGAACGAGAAAATTTGCGCACAGGTTAGCAAAAAAATTGAGGAAGGTAACACAGTGGGAGCAATAAGAATAATTACAAGTGACGACACTGTAGCCCCCATGGATGAGACCACGGCCCAAGCACTAAGAGACAAGCATCCAACCAGGGACACCACAGCCATCAACGACAACCCTGAGGAAGACCCTATCACTGAACAATTAATTTTGCCAGAATCGGAAGTCTATAAGGCGATCTTGTCATTTCCAGCAGGATCTGCAGGAGGTTACACTGGAATTCGACCTCAGCACCTCAAAGAGATGGTAAATCCAGTACTCGGTGAATCTGCATCAATTCTCACCGAGTTAACAACTTTCGTC